AAAGAAAGCCACTATCATGCCCAGGCATTTGGGCAGACAACCCCTAATCTTATAGACACTTAATCTAGCAGGTAAGAGTGGTAGAATAAAAACACAATCTTCACTATTTTTTAATAAAAGAAATTATAAAAATTCACTTGCCTAAATTGGGCTTTAGTGGCTTTTTTTTTTGTCCCAAACAATGTTTTACTGCATATAAATTCATTTTTTTGGGTAGTAGGTTTGTAACACAGCCCCCGGGGGAGGTACTACCTCCTCCCAAGTGAGTGAAAACGGAAACCTTCAGGGCTCCACTTAAACAGCAGTATTTTCAGGCTACTGTCAGAAAGGGGACATGCGGAAAAGCAAAAACCATTTTTTTTCCAATTTGTCAGATAATTTAAACTCTCCGGGGGAAGGGGAAACAGAATTCTTCCTCGTAACCCCCTGCATGTCGCAAGAGGCCACAAAATCCCGGGAGTAGGGGGCTAAAAAACCCCTTCTCCTGTATCTTACTAATTTAAAAAAAAGAGAACTTTCTTTTTTCTTTTGGGCCACCCGATTGGTGGGATGCAGCCTTTTTTTGAAAGAAGAATTTTCACAACATATTTTAAGTTAGCAAAGAACAAGGCTTTAAAAAAACAATAAAAAAAAAATCCACACAGTAACTCTTACTTACCCAAAAAGTTTGTAGTCTTAATGTAGGGTGGGGTAGTGTTTTAGTAAGAAGTTAGGTAGGTACCACCAGCCACCCCACCGAAAACCCCCCCCACATAATATACTCGACATTTAAAGAGCCCAGAGTGTAAAATGCATAAAATTTTTGGTCACTCATTACCCACCTTAAAATATTTGAGTCTTAAATAGGGTGGGAAGGAAAACAGCCTCTCTTCCTTTAACACGGAGATAGGGGCCAAGACCCTTCGGGAAAACAATTTCATGCTAATCAAGGAAGACCTAAAACTGGAAATTTATTACCTGTGAATAAAAAGAAACAAAGTCTTTTTTTAAATTCAAGTCCTTTCAAAACACTTACCCAAACTAAATAAATGCGAATAATTGTACTCATAAATTGTTTTCGAAATTTTTTTTCCCTTATTTTATCTCATAAATTTAACCTTGACCCCAATCAAACTTTTTTTTTTTAATTTACATTACCTAACAAATACAGTGGGCCCCCCCTTAACGATCACCTTCCAAACACCAAATTATGTAAGTGGTTTGTACATGTATTTTGGAGGTCTTAAATGGGACTAATTTACTTCACAATAATTTCTTATTGGAACAAATTT